CTCATACTCGTCCCAAGTATTGTCTCGCAGTTCTCCAAGTTATTATCACAAAAATAGTTTTAACACATACAAATGTGTCCAAACAATCATATAATTTTCCCTAGACTCTACTAGGACTTCTTCCATGCGTATCTTCAATCATCCATTCTGCTTCAACTCGGTTGTCAGACAATGGGATAACTTCATGGATTATACCAAAAATCTTTCTTTTTGCTAATTGAAAGTGTACTTCTCCTGTACTAGACATATTATTTATTAGACGCATTCTAAAGGCAAGATATCACTCTTACGATATCTTCTGATAGGTATCATTCACTATCGTAAGCCTTCTCATTTACTCAATTCACTACGAATATTCACCATGATGTTCTGCACACCAAAGCATGTGTTCGGTGTATCGAGACAAGAATATAGATAGAGGAAGATTTAGATGCGTATTCCTCCTTATTACTCCGAAAAGTTACATTCCAGTTCTAACACCGTAATTAAACTTTTAGAAATCTGAACACATAAAATTTTCGGATCCGGTCGGCAACAGACCATAGATCCGATCAAACGATAACATAAAGCATCATAAATCATTTAGCACATAAAAGCATTTTAGGCATCTTCCCTAATTAAGCTAGTGCTTGTGTCTATTCAGGGGTACTTCCTAATATATTAGACACACTCCTCACAATCATCGCTTAGCATTCTAAGTTTAAGTCTAGACATAAATCATTATTCCTAGTTCGCTTAAACTAATGCTCTGATACCAACTGTGACATCCACATTTTCACGGCCAGAAAAGACCGATTTTGTTTATGCTGTATAAAAATCAGAGTACCCTTTTTAATAAAAATGTTGTGGAATTTGTTCCCAGAAAAACATGATAAATACGTTATCAAGGCATTTCCGAAGAAATGTATTTTATTCGTTTTAAAACATTGGGATGTCATCGTCAATACATAAATATAAGCATAAACAGAACTTACATTCATTTTCGCTAGTGATTTATATCTCCTTAATCTCTTAGTATAATGTAACTTCATATCGACACTTGTGATTCAAATAAACTGAGTGGGTCAGATTGGGAAACCTGGTGAGTACATAGGGTTTTCAACCCACAATAATATAGTTATTATGTTTAAACATCAGACAATCAACCCAATTACCCATCCCCATTATCTTCTTTACTCTTAAGGATCTACCCTAAGAATCAGTTATTCTTCGTTCATTTATTCCTAAGGATTATCCTAAGGAATCGGCACGAAATCCATCGTTGCCAGGGTTTTCTCAACAGGCACTAAATTCATAGTTACCAAGGTTTGCTCAACAGGCGCTAACTCCATAGTCGCCGTGGTTTACTCAACATGCGCTAACTCCATAGTCGACGAGGGTTATCTCGTTTATTGACAGTATCGTTTTCGAGAGTCCACTCGCAATACATGTCAATGGGTTTTTAGAGTACACCATTGAACACATCGTTCACAACACCTACAGGTTGCGAGCCTGCTAGTGTTCCACTGGACTGTCTAGAATAGTCCGTGGTTGTCATCCATACTCTGCTAGATGACGGAGCCATCATTTGGGAACAAGGCTTCTCACATCGTCCACCTCTCACCCTTACCTCATGGTCTATATCACCTCTCAACTCATCATCCAACTCAAATTTCATCTACCCATGTTTTACCCAACATATTATGTAGATATAAAATATATATACAGTTTAAATCATTTAAAACATGTATAAAAGTGTTCATCCAGCATAGATAGCAAGTATACATATAATATTCACACATAGCACGTAATTTATATTAAATACTTCATATCTATGTGTAAGATGAAAGTAACTATGCACTCACCTGATAAGGTGGTCAGTCGGTACTCGGACAACGCTTCGTTAATCTTAAAACAATTTCCCTCGGACAAAACCTAGTATCATTACCACTAGAGTTTAGTCTAACGTTAACCGCGACTAATTAATAATCTAGCTATTATTACTATTATATAAGCGTTAAGCAACACTCTTATATAACTCATAATAATATCCCAAATAATTATTTTAAGGTCCTAATAATGTTACTATATTAAAACATAAGCTATACTAAAGATAGGGTAGGCATAGCTCACTTACAACGGGTTTTTCGCAAAATCGGGCATCGCCGGAGCAGCGTTCCCGAGCCGAAAGGCTCCTTTTCTCGGGACTCCGGGAGCCTCGGGGATTCCTTCGGGTGCTAGGGGGTTTACCTAGACTTTAGGGGGCTTAAGGGAGGCTAGAGAGAGAGTATAGAGAGAGAAAGTGAAGTTGAGATGGTGTGAAGAATGAGGGAACCCGGCACCTCTATTTATAGGCTGGAATCTTGCTCTACTCGTCGAGTAGGAGGTCCTATTCGTCGAGTCCATGGCCAGGTGTCACCACCTGGTGGCTTGCCTTGGGGAGAAAGCCTTGGCGTATATTCAGCCACGTCACCCGATTTCGCACAACAACCTGCCGACTTCTAAACCCCGTAAATTTCGCATACGAGCTCCGTTTTCGACGTTATTTATGTCCACGCGTAGGTAAAAAACAAGATCTACAACTTTCATTTAGACTCTATCGGCTAATTCTCGACCGATCTTAAATTTAACAGTAGGAAAAGATTAGACTGTTAAATGACCGCGAAGAATTCGTAACTCCTTCATACAGACTCCGTTTTCGTCTGTCTTTTTATCGTTGAGTTCCTATTAATGAGATCTTCAACTCTCATTTAGGTTGCGTAGGCCAAAAACCCTCGAACTAAAATTCGAGTTTCGGGTCGTGCACTGCTATGCCAAATCTTAGAAAATTCATAACTTCCTCATACGACGTCAGATTTGGGCGTTCTTTTTTTTGTATGTTCTCGGTTTAACGTATACTACAACTTTTGTTTAGATCACTAAGGCTAAAAAGTCCTCTATCGTAAATTCACTATTTACGTCTACCGATGCTGTGCCGGTTTTGCCATAAAACTTCGACGATCCAACTTCTTCGTTATAACTCGGATTTCGGCATTCTTTATACGTACGGAACCCTTGTAACATATACTACAACTTGGTTAAGATTAATTCTTATAAATAATCTTTCATCAAAAACTCATTTTTGACGCTCATTGTCTTTAATTTGACTAGCCCGGATCTGCGGGCGTTACACAAATGATGTTGATTTCGGTCATGACCTTATTCAAGAAAGGGATTTCGGCCTTGTGGATGATCTTTGAGGGTGATTTCGGTTCTATATGGCCGAAAACCCTTGGATCTTTTGATTCCAAAAACCGAAATCCCCATAGTGGGGTATAGTTCATGCCTTTTTGATTTATTTCTTTGACTTGTGTTGACTTGGGAAGTTTATTACGTCATGGTTTTAACATATATAAACATATTAGCTTATATAAGCATGCCTTCTTGGTTTTCAAAGTTCTATTGCATCAAGTTGTATTTGTGAATTCACTTGTACATGGTTAAAATTTAGACCTTATTTTTTCTAGAATTTTTCCATTTGTCACATCTTAATATTTTTATTATTTGCGTCCTTTTTTCAATATTCAATGTTCCATCTATTTTAAGGTCTAAAGAACATATTTTTAATCTTCCATCTACTTTGTGTAGTTTTTGTGTCACAAAATTTTCTCCTCTATTCATCCTTAATCCCTTTGAAATTCCAAAAAATTGGCTTGGAAATTTCAAATATTCATGGTGAATATATAGTTTGATTCTTTTATTATCTGTGCGTGTATGTTTTTTTTTTAGTTAAAGTTTAAAAGAATTCAATATTCTTTTTACAGAATGCCTCTTATTTTATTTCCAAGTCAAATTATTTTTTAAAAAATACAGGTTTTTTTTTGCTTGGTTACATACATGTTGGAAACGAACTAAGAAGGAGATGACGATTCTTTCAAGAATTTCAAGAATGTTTTTTGAAGTTTTTTTTTTTTTTTGATGTATTTTAGTTTCTAATAGTATTTTAAGTTCATTCTCATAAAACTATTTTCATAAAAGAGTAAATGTATTCTGTAAGAATATGTTTTACATTAACATCTTTGTCATTCGAATTTTATGTTATTCGACCCATTCTTAGAGATTATTCATGAATGATATGATATTCGTACTTACTTTTGTTCTTAGTTTCTTATATTCGTTCTTACTTTTGTTGTTAGTTTCTTATGGTTGGCATTTTCATAGAATGTTATTCTAACAGAACAAAATTGGTTATGATTAAATATTAAAATTAATTGAAAAAATGGATTTTTAAAATTAATAGAATCTATTAACCCTTAAAATCTGAAATTTTCTTTTTTTAAATATAGTTTGATTGACTAAAATACCATTACAATGAAATTTGTATGATTATATGGTACATATTATCTCATTGTAATATCATAGACCCTCATATCATAGTCATTCATTCTTTTAATATATTGGTCTAGAGTTGTACTTACGACCACACAATAGATGACATCCACATTAATATATATATATATATATATATATATATATATATATATATATATATATATATATATATATGGCTATGTTATAACTACATGATGATAATCGATTATACATGAGAAAACATTTTCATATTAGCAAAGCATGTTTTTTGACTTTTTTATTATAAAAACTTGAATTAAAAAGTGGTTAAGAACGTGAAAAAAACGGTTGTTAAAACCACATTTAAATCTATATTATCATAACACTCTCCCATGTAAATTTATTATCTTTAATTTATTGCTAATAAATTTAATTTTTAAAGTATATGTGTTTGATTTTTATAAGATAAAATTTGTTTTCGCATTTTCTCAGAGTATTTATGTTTTCGCATGAACTTTTATATATATATATATATATATATATATATATATATATAATAAGAAGAGAGACTCAGGGCCGCCCATGGACTTGGGCAAGCTGGGCGACTGAGCCCCCACAATTGCCAAAGGGGCCCATTTTATATGGTTATAGAGGGTTATATAGTGAACACATAAATTTTAAAGTCTAATGGACTAGTTTTTCAAAGGCCCAATACTCTAATATGGTGGGGTGCCAAGTCCAAAAGAGGGAGTGGAAGCGAGAATCATACCTGCATTTCCACTTTCCAAGGCGTCATCATCTTTTGATTTGTATGGAAAATCCAAAACGTCGTCTGATTCCCAGAAGGCAACTCCCAACATTTAATAGTTTCTTCTCCTTCTTCCATTTATTAATTCTTATTCAAGCTAATCGATTTCTTTCATATGCAAAATTCGAGAATCTGATTGTGATTTGTGAATCTGTGTAAGTTCTAGCCATCTTGAAATTCAATCTTTTATGTTAATCTGTGATATATCTTATTGTAAATGTTAATATGTGCAATTTGATTTTTCCATTGAATCTCAAATTTTGTAAATATAATTCTGCCTAATTCGATTTATCTCTTTCTAAACATTAGATATTTGTATTGAGCTTTTCCAATTGCTCAGAGGATATTAGCCACAACCATAACACACAATATGTATTCTCTTAGTTTCCGTTTCACTTTTTTTTGTTATTCAATTATCTGTGATTGTTATTTTTTTTTTAAAATGGTTCCCATAAAATATGTCTAGACTTTGAATCTAAAAAAGTTTGTAAATGTAAAATTCTTTAGTTTTTTTTTTTTTTTTGCTATGTTAATTTATTTGAGTATGTTTTGGCCTTTTTAATTTACTATTTTGTAATTAATAGGTGTTAGGTTGTTTGCCTTTCGGGGTTTGTCCTGGAGCTTTTTTTCTATACATGGGTGGTTTAGGGCAGTGGTTCAAGGGTTTAAGGTTGTAGAGGGAGAGGCGGAGGGAGGTGATGCATTAAGAGGAGTGACGGAGGGAAGTGGAGAAAGTCGCGATGATGTTCTGGTGGTTCCTATAGAGTCGGCAGTTGACGGTTTCGGCGACAACGACTGATGGAACAAGAGACTGGTTGACTGGTTCCACGGTGACATTCGAAGATTCTGGTGGTGGTGCATCTTTTGTAACGAGACGAGAGAATAGGATAATGATACATGATCATAGGTTTTAGAAATGGTAATAAATTGAGGGTGAGAATTTGGCAAGGTTTTATATTTTACTTGTTTAAATCACAATCATATATAAATAATATATAAATTATGAAAAGAAAAATAAGGATAGTATAGTCTTTTTATCTTCGTAATGAACGAAAATGTAAAAAATTCATTCTATGAAGAGTGTAAAAAATAGTAATGGACTAAACACACAATTTTAATAAAATAAAGGTGTCTTTTTTATCTTTGCAAAGGACCCCATTTTTATTTATTCCGAACCTCAAGTTGTCCTGGAGAGGCCCTATACCATGGTGGTGGTGATGTTTTCAATTACCACTTTACAAGAAATTGTAAGCGGAAGATCTTTTTTAGATACAATCGACCACTTTTTGGTAGTGGAAAGATTTTATATACTAGACTACTAGTCTCTTAAGAAACAATTTAAAACGGGAGGGATATATGATAATGATATATCCATCACCCCTTTTACAACCTAAGTTCCCTTTGTTTTTGTTTATGATGTCATCATGATTCGATTTCTGTTGTTATTGGTAGTATAATATTAATGGACTATTAACTCAAAGGTTTTATATACATGAGTGCAAGTGCAAAAGTGAATATTCGATTTGTGGAGAAGATGGAATTTTGGTCCCAAAGACGCTATTAAACCCGCATTCACCGGATGAAAATGACGACTTTAACATTTATAATATTTTTGATTGGTTTTAACAGAAAACTAACATAATTATAGAAAGATGTAAATAATATCGGTAAAAGCTGAATTATTTGCATGAAAATGCAGCAAGTTGGAAAGGTTGAGTGCCTAGTGCCTATTGTATTGTAGCATAAAACCACCTCCATTGTTACCCTGATAAATCAAAACCAGAAGGAGAAAGCAACAGTAGCTTTCCTTTATTTTTGGGTTTAATTTTCTCCATCTCTTCTTCACCTTTTAGTGTATGAGTTGTCAGGTGGAGACTTGTATCTTTAAGCATATGCAATAAAGATAGAAGATTGGGTTTGCCATTATATGAAAAGTATGTCGAACCCTATTTGGGAATTTCACCTGCCAAGTGTTTGATGAAATGCCCAAAAGAGATTCCCATTACAACATGAAAGTTTGACAAGGTATAATCTCAACTCTGAAGCCAAAAACAGTTCAACCCAGCAAAGGTGGCAATTCACCATCATTGAACATCATCTCTGAGCTGTGATGGTGAACCAAGAACCAGTGACCATTGTGAAACTCAAACACATTGGTCAAGTTCAAACCACTATGGTCCATGGCAATGTAGGCTTTCATGGTGACCCATGCCATGTCAGACATGACACGTGCACTTACATCTTGAATCTGGAAATCAATCCCTAACTCCCAGTTAAAAGCAAGCTGCCAGCTTCTTATAACCCTGGTATAACTGCATGCAAAACTAAATGTAAGATTTTTTTTTTTTTAAAAAAAAAATGGTGTGATAAATGAAAAGGTTGTTACCCTGTGAAAATATCCCCAGATGCATGAACACATTTGACATAATCTGCATTAAGCCAAAGTTGTCCCATTTGTATAATAGATCTTTCTCTAATGATGTCAAAAAAACGGTGATTGATGTTTACTATTGCTCTAGTGGCTGCGTAGTATGCCTTCCATCCATTACCAGGTCTTATACCATCTTGTTCTGTTGTAAAATCCTGGGAATTTCAATATATATATGTCAATTGTAGAAGTGAACTTACAGTTTACAAACTGAGCTACTAAAATGTATGATTAGCTGCTATGATCTCATCATCTCCTTTGATCAAGGGTTTGGCATATCAACAAGTCCTCGGTTTCTTAATGTTTATCACTCACACAATTAAAGCACTAGAAAGTCCTTCAATGATATTGATTTCGATGAAACAGAATGCATGAATTTTTCAATCAATTCTACTCACAAATCCATACAAGCATCCCAAACTTAGCATACTTAATCCAACTCCGATCAATAAAAGCCACATAATGAAAATATTCCAAGTTTTATACAGACAGAGGTAAGGTGTTGATCAAGATGGCAGCATAAAGCAATCAGTTAGTTAATCCATCCCACCTCTAGTCAGCCGATCCCCAAAAGTGTAATCAAATATGAATTGTATAAAAAGAAAAAAAATCAAAGATTAATTAAGAATTCTAACATACAGTTCAACAGACAGATGATACGAGTAGCAACGTAACAACGAGAAGTTGGAAAAAGAAAACACAACCTTGTGATAAAGCGTTTTCCAAGCATTATCATCGTTTGCAGCTCTCCTCATTGAAGAATTCGTCATTGACAGGCTACAGAGACTCCGGTAATCCAAGTAACTCAAAACATGTGTCGTGATCTCCGGAACCAACTGTTCCATCATCGACGCGCCAACCGTCTGTTGCCGCTCCCTCTCCACCACCATCAGCTCCCCACCACCATTCATCATCCTAGCCATCAAATCAGAACTTGAACAAACACACTTACTAGCCTTTCGTTTGTTCGATTGGGAGAATGCGAGTATGATGAAGGGGAAGAAGAACAACAAAGAACAGAAAAAAGGGAACATTAGGGCTAGAAAGAGAGAAAGTAATTTGAAATATTCGTAATCGGAGAAAGTAAACGAGATCTCCATTGATGATGATTATGAGACATTAAAACTTCAGCGAACGTAAACCCTAAAGCGATAGAAGTGTTTAAAAACCGGTGACGAAGCTCTATGTTGTTGTCTCTGAAAGCTCTAATGTTGCGGTTACGCGATGGCATCATAAATCATTGGTCGATGATCATAATTCAGACATCCATTTTAAGGAAGTAAAGTCGAATCAATCTTCTTGGCTCTTGCGGAATATAACTGCGAGCCATGTCCTTTTTCGTTGGGTTGGTTGGGCCGATCTTCTTGGAACTTGGAACAATGGAGTAAATATGGTTTACTTTGGTAATCAAACTAGATTATAACATGAAAACATAAAAAAAAAAAAATAGAAATGTCTATGGATATTGCATAATAATTATAAAAAAAAATATGGTTATTGGTATTAATGAAATGTGTAAAGATTGAAATCAATAAATATCTATAATCGTTGAAGTACTTCTTTGTATACAACATTTTTTTGTTGTATTAGTTGAATGATATTCCTCGTCACATATGGTTATGATATTGTTATATAAGCATAACTGTTCTAATTAGACGTTCATTCAATAATAAGGTTACTTAATTTAAGCCTATATTGACAATCAATATACCGTTTTTTTCATTGTATTAAATATTGACATCTATTTCATTTATTCAAATAAAGTCATAAAGTATAATTTATGAAATGTTAAATGTTATATGGATTTAATTTTAGTATATCATCAATGAGAATTCTTTTCTAAATCATGATTGATTTATTTTAAATTGATTATGAATATAAGTGCTAGCTTTATGTTTGTTCTTATTTATTTGGTGTTCGCAAGAACTTTGCATTAGTTTTGTCGCAACTTTGAATAATTTTAGTATATTATCAATGTAATTTGGTATATCTTTCAATTATATGAAATATAAAATAATGATATTTCATTACTATTGTGATAATTTAGTTTATATATTGCATTTTTACTCATCTTAATGATCTTATTTTTTTTTCTAATAACTGTAACGCTTTTACTAATTGTACTTACAAATCTCCTAATATCTTATAATTTTTATCTTACTTTATAATTTTTCATAACTATACTATTTTCAAGATTGACTGTCTTAATAGTTTTTTTTTTTCAGTCTATTCAATTTTATATTTCGTTGTACAACATCATCGTTTGTATGTATTATGAAATTTCATTTTAAAAATGCTTAATGTTTACATCTTGATATTTTTTTTAATAAACTCGTGTAATAATTATGGAATATATATCTTGTTTGAATTAACATTTACTTCCTCCATTAAATTAAATTCCTCATTAAACGGATATATTTTGGAAAGTAATAACTACAATGGGGCAACATTATCTAAGGCATAAATGTTTGATGTACTTTTGCAGGGAAAAAATCGGGATCATTAAAAAAAATTTATATAAAGAAAATACAAATTTAAATTGAGTGAAATTATGGATGAAATTACTGACGAAAATTATTTTGGAGGATTTATATTTTGTAAAGTATAATACTATGACAAAATTCGAAATATGTATATTGTTGTGTAAATTTATAAATTTTATTGTTACAATATAAAGATAAAACAAAGTAGGTTGGTATGTTAAACACAAAAAATAATTTCAATGAATGTATGAAATTAAAAAAAGGAATTTGAAGATGAAAATTTAAAACTTAAAAGTATGATGACATGTGATAAAAAAAATGTGTGAAAGAGCTCTAACCACATTTAACCAATTTGTTAGTGAGAAGATCATAAATGGACTCTCAATGTGTCACACACCCAAACCAAGGATGGCGGAAACGTCCGGGGGTGGAGGACTTCATGTATAGTATCACAACAACGAGTATAATAGTGCTCAAAGTAAATACAACCATCATAAATATAATTGAAAAGGTTACACCATAGTATATGTTTACATGTTTCAAAATCAATTACATTATGATGACAAAATGAACTGTTTGACGATTTAACGTCTCATCCTCAAAATGCTGTTGGTTTCCTGTTTCACTGATTTCCTGAGAATACAAGTAGTTTTGAAAAATGTCAACAATTAAGTTGGTGAGTTCATAAGAGTTTTGTTTGAGGAAAAAGCCGTTTTCCTTGTAAAAACGATAGAGTATGATTCCAGACAATCCAATATTTTATTTATTAAGTGTGAAGTGAATGCTCTTATGTTATGCGATAATGAACCCTAGAAGGACCCGTAGATTCCTTCTATAATCACCCAGTGTATATAAGTTATATAATATTTAAGTTAAATAAACCGTCGAATATAATGGGTCTGCCCTAGGTCCACAACCAAACAAAGAACAGGAAGTAAGGCGGGCCCACCAATTCTAAGTCGATTGTGACTAGATTCTTATATAAATCTATCATATACACTTAGCAATTATAGCTGAAGTCTAACAATTCTAGATGAAATGTAGTATTAATAGAAATATGTTTCCAAAGAAAATCCAATATTTTCCTTATAAAAGTCATGTAGTCCTAA